TTTTTTTGGACTTTGTGAAGAATTTTTAATATAACATCGAAGAACTTTGCCGAAATTTTGACAATAAGCTGTTAATACAGATTCCGATAGATTATTTATTTTAGTAATAACAATTGTTGATTCACGATCAAAAAACATATCTATTAGAGAAAGAATTAAAAAAAACACAAATTTTATTTGAAAAATCAATGATTCATACATAGTTAAACAAAAGATATAAGCGAAGAAAAAGTTCAACATTATATACAAGATTATCTGCATTTATTCTAGTCTTTTTTTTTCTTTCTCTGGTGTATAACACGTGGTCACTTACTAAGCTTTGTCATATTTATTCAAAAGAATAAATTATTTGAAAAATGGAATCTATTTAATCAGTGATAGGCATATCAAAAGATTAAATGTTCGAATACAACTAATTTTACTAGAATTTTTTCTCGTGTGTAAGTACTATGTATAAGGAAGTGCTTTTATTAATAAAGGCATGACATATGTGATGAAATACCTTCACAAATATAATCAATGACGGTATTAGTTAAGTTACAATCAAAGTTCGCTATCCATATGTTACTTCCTATCTTTATAAACTGTTGAGAAAAAAAAATGAAATAAAATAAACGTATAGAAGAATATTGTAAACGAACAGAGCGTGTTGTTACAATTTAATAGGTTGACAAAATTTCTTCCCGTTTTTTTTTAGCCTTTACTCATCTGCTTATATATCAGATCGAAAAAAGAAAGATGCATTTTCGACTATGAGTGGCATCTATTCATTTTATTGTCATATGTTTAAAGAATAAATCAATATACATACTAAAAATCATAAATAATCTTTCATTATAAAATATCTGTTAGTATTTAACAGATTATGCCTCAGGAAAAATAAATATAGTCACATGTTTTTCTTATTGAAAATTGACTTTATTCGATACAAATAAAAAATCTTAAGTTTTATAATTGATTACACGACATTTCTGCACGTGGTACTAACGCGCTAAAACTTAAGCCTAACGGAATTCATAATATAAATCAATTACTGAATAATTCAGAGATTTCTATATATTCTTAAAGAACGGTTTTTTTTTAAATTTTACCTCTTTTTTGATTAAATTGATTGAAAACCAAAAGAGACAGCCGTTTCTCACTTGAGATGTACTCCGCGTATGTCTCACCTTCAACCTCACTTTTTAAAATTGAACACGCTAGTAACCATATGTGCACATAAATGTCATGTCACGGTAATGATTCACGTATAGAGCATGTCTAAATTGTAATCTATAAATTCTTTCTTCTATTTCGAGATATGTCACACAATAATGATAATATATTTAATTATTTTTTTATTATATTACTTATTCATCTGTCTACAATTTCACTCTTCAGTATTATTAGAAGTTTAATTATTGATGGTTTCTTTTTAAATAGTAGTTCATATCACGATTGAAGTTATTACGCAAAATAATTGATCGATGAAAATTTATATTTAAAATAACTTACGTCATGATGAACCTTATCATCGAAAACTAAATCATTTCAATGAAAACAATTGCTTACTTGTATACAGGGGGAGGGGGACTTGAATACCATACAGCACACAAATACAAATAGTTGTTTAAATTTGATTGTATTGAATGTGAATTTTTTTAAATCGGGGGGGGGGCGTAATATAAACAAATTACAGAAGCAGGGGGAGGTGTTACGCATCACGTGTCTTCCCCTTCTTTCGATATTTCGAGAGTAAACACTTCTAATATTTGATGAATATTTTCAAAGCTCATTGTAATCTAACACCATCTATAGGTTGTTGAAGAAATCAAAAATAGAAACAAATAAGCTACTCAAATATAGATGTACTGAAATGAATTAGTTTTCTTCTGTTTATTTGTTCAATAGAGATTATTTATTACAACTGGTTGATATTAGTATATACACATAGAACTCGTGTCTATATTCAATACTTTATTCGTTAGAATACAAGTTTAGTTAATACACTATTATTAACGTTTTCAAAAGAAATTATCTATTCGACAATACATAACACCAATACATATTTTTCTTTTTCTTTAACCTGGATAATGACGTTCTTGGCTTTTATATTTACCTGATCTGTCATACGGAATCTTGTGTATATATAAAAAGCAATGAAAAATCGTATTTCAATATCATCTAAACTTGAAACATTTCCTAATGAAATATTCTTTGAAATCTTTGATCGTCTTTTACCAAGTGATTTATATCAAGCATTTTATGGACTTAATACTCGTTTAAATACAATATTAAACGATTCTCGTATGCGTTTTCGTGATAATATATCATCTCTTAATTCAAAAGAATTTCATTCTTATATTCAAAATATTCTTCCTCAAATTCTAAATCGTCTAGTTTCATTTACATTTGGAACATATGATACTGATGAGGTTCGATTAAAATAAAATAACTACTAGACAA